ATCCATGCAAGAGAGAAAGGACCAAGTATAAAAAAAAAAGCTTCCAGTAAATTTTGTTGCCTCCTATTCAGCTTTAAGCAGACTTGCTACCTGCCCTATGAGAGGCCCCTCATCACCAGCAAAAGGAAGGAGATAGAAACTCTCTTGATTTTTGTATTCGAAGACAGTCTAAGCAGCAAACCTTACTGAAGTGGAGCCAGCTGGAGTTAGCAGAGCCAGCACACATTGGAGAGAGCAAGCTTTATGGAAAGGAAATCAGTTTCCAGATGAGGTGCTTGTACTGTGCCCACAGAGCTCATAAAAAGGGATTAGCATGTTAACCACATAATTAAACATGAAAAACTTAGCAGGCATCTTCAAAGGCAGGCAACAAAACCCAGAGGTCACACAAACAGCACTTACTGTGCATCTGGTTTAATTATGGGGGGCTCCTTCCAGATACAGGATTTCTTACAGTTGATGGATTATTCCCTTCACAAATTGCCAGCGCTTCATTTCATCTCAGTTGTGTTGTGCCCGCAAATGGCTTTTGCCCAAAGTAAAGATGACAGTGAGATTCTTAAAATAACCACAGATTAAAGATGGGACAGCAGGCTCTGACAACATAAATGCTCATCTCATCCCAGCTGAGCATCTGACCCAAACCTTCCAAAGGTTGATAAAAACTGGATCAAGTGCTTCAGTGCAGTTCTCCCCATTTTAGTTTCATTTTTGGCCTTTTTGCCCTTCTGGCAAGGAAATACCAAAAATTCAAGAACAGCTCTTGAGGCACTTTGTAACTCAGTAGGGAGCAATAAGTAATGGATCTTTTAAGCAAAATCCTGGCCAGCTCTGCAGACCCATGAGTTCTGGATCATCCAAACAAGAATCCAAAGCTACCCATGACTACAGCAGGCTGCTAGGCCAGCAAATAGTCAATGGCTAGCCCCATCATTCCTATGGCAAACTTTAGCTGTGTAGAATGATCATCACAAATCAGCCTGCAAATGCAAGTCACATCCATATGATAGGCCCTGTAGATTAGCTCTCAATAGGAGAAACAAATAGTGCTCTTGGCTACCCTGACTGCTGCCAACTGTCACACAGGACATACATTTTTGATTCAGGCAGATCCTACTGTGGAATAGATCACTAAGAGAGTAAAACATGAGTGGGAAGCGAAGATAAGCGACTTGGGACTACATGTTCCAAAGTGTGACATCCATGGCAACTGCCCCATCCAGATTTTTAGTAAGAGTAACAGAAAATATTCAACTAAAAATAAAACTGACGACATCAGATTCTGAACAACGAATTCTTGGATCTCATCATCCACAGACCTCAGAGGGCTTTGCCACAAGGTATGTACCATTTCCTTTCCCCTTTTTTAAAATTAAGGTAAGGCATAGAGGAGTAACTTGCTCAAGTTTGAAGACAGAGCTAGCAAAAATCCAGGCCTCTTGATTCTCAGCCTAAGGACATCTGTGCTTGCACCAGCCACGTGCTAATAAAATGAGTCTTCCTGGTTTTGAACTAAGAATTTTAGGTGTGTTTAAGGTGCATGATTCCTATTATGTTACACAGAACTTGATTTCAAAATGACTTTGGTTTTCCACTTGCATCTAAGAGGCTCCTAGCATGACATGCAGTAACACAGCTTCTTCTTTCAATGGTATGTTCAGGATTTGCTGTAGCCCTCTGCTGTATGAGATCAGGGGCCACCGACCACAGCCATAGAGAAAGCAAAGAGAGATACTACTCTTGGAGCTGTGTGAGGTATAAAAGTGAACTTCACAAAAAAGGCATATGAAACTCTCACTTGCACACATGCCAGCTACAAACTGAGGCCAATGTGAGAATCTAAATCTTTACAGGAAAGCACATCTTTGTAGGCAACAGATATAGTGTTAAGAGAGCAAAAAGCACTAGAGTGCTCAGGGAGAGGGGGTTAGGGAAAGAGCACAGCAGCAGACGGATCAAAGACAGAAAAAAATAGACAATTCTGACAGGTGCCAGCATCAGTTGATACTCCAAACACCACATTATGCTCCTATCAAAAGTAATGGTGTGTGCACCTGGGACAGAGAAGATTTTGGACCCTAGAGACTACAACAATTAAAAAAAAGATTTGCTGTTTCACTGTCCAGACTTTTACACTGACCATGCTGGCCCGTGTAATACTAACCTTGAAATCTAGGTTAGGGGTAGGCAACATTTCTGGCCAGAGTACAGGAAAAATCACAATGTTTACCTTGTAAGGCGCTGGAGTGCCAGCATGCCAGAAAAATAAAACCAGGGCAGGGGGTCCATGGCAGGATACACTGCATCTTAATATAGTTAATAATCATAAACGTTGCTTTTTGGGGGGAGGGGGGTTGGGATTTTTTGTTTTTTGGGTGGTTTTTGTTTGTTTGTTTTTTGGTTTTTGGTTTTTTTTACAGTAAATACCAGGTTTTCTAAAAATTCTAAACCTGGTGTCAATAAATAAAACTTCATATACTAACCTTTGTTCCTGTGTATTCTTTTTTGTTAAGCATGTTGTCATGAGAAAGAAGAGAAAAAGAGGAGAGAGAAAAAGGAGAGGAGAGAGAGGGGGAAAGAGAAAAAAGAAGAGAGGAGAGAAAAAGAAATAGGAGAGAAAAAAAGAAGAGAAAAAGAGAAAGAGGGAGAAAAAGAAAAAAGAAAAGGAAAGAGATAGAGTGGAGAAAAAAAAGGAGATGAGAAAGGACAGAAGAAAGAAAAAGGAGAGAAGAGAGAGGGAAAGAAAGAAAAAAGAAAAGAGAAAAAGGAGAGGAGCAAGAAAGAAGGAAAGGAGATAGAAAAAAAGAGAAAAAGATGGGAGAGAAAGAGAGAAGAGAAAGAAGAAAAAAAGAAAGAAAGATACAGAAGAAAAGAAAAGAAAAGAAAAGAAAAGAAAGAAAGAAAAGAAGAGAAAAGGAAAAAGAGAAAGAGGGTGTGTCCCTTGCCACCCATGTCTCCCACTGCTACTAGCTGTGGCTCAGACCCACGTCCAGCAGAGGAGGCAGCGACATCCAAGCAGCAGCCACCAGGGCTGGGGGACTCAGGCCTCCCTGACAGCCCCCAAGTGGGAGAAGCCCAGAACCAGGGCTGGAAAGGAGGGCCCAGCCGGGGCTCAGGCAGACAGACACCCCATCCCACCCAGGCAGGGGTAGCACTGGGATGCTGAGTGCCAGGCTGGGCACTCAGGGCAGGGTCTGGGCAGTGCAGGGAGAAGTAGGTGCAGAGGGAGGCACCACAGGCAGGCCAGCCTGGCTGAGCCTTTGGGAAGGCGGCAGTTGGAGGAGAAAGAGGGCCAGGTGTGAAGTGCAGGCTGCTCCGGGGTTGCTCAGATTCAGGCTGTGGTGGGCAGGCAGCCAGGGCACCCAACAGCACCTGAGGTGGAGCCCAGCCCAACCCCTGCAGCTCCATGGGGATGGGCCAGGGCCATCCTACCCACGAGGGGATGCCTCCTGGCCCAGGTAGGACACCAGGCTCAGGGGGCTTCTGGCTCCAGGCTTCCCTGCATGCTGGGTACAGTGCGAGTGGGGCAGAGCTACCCCTGGTTCAAGGGCCCAGATGCAGGAGCCGCCTCATGCCCTAGGAACAGCCACCATGGGCAGCCCTTGGGGCTGAGCCAGCCAGGAGCCTCCAGCACAATGGTCCTCCACAGTGCCTGCCTGGTCGCCAGCCTCACCTACCGCCAGCTCCCCTCCGGGGCCTGGACCGGGCTGGACACTGTAGTCTGGGGATAGGGGGCAAGGTCAGCAGAACGAAGACACCGTCCCGGCCTGTATTCTCCTGACTCCATCCCCAGTGCCTGCTGTGGCACTGGGACTTGTGGCTGCTCCAGAGACCCTGGAGCAGCAACTTAAAAAAAAAAAGAAATGTTTTTAAAACAAATTTCCTCACACCTCCAGGCTTGCCAAGGAAAATGTCTCCATGTGCTACTAATTGGCACACGTGCCAGGGGTTGCCTATCCCTGATCTAGGTGCTGCATAGAATTAGAGGCAATATATCTGCTCAGCTAACAGTCAAGCTTTCCCGAGGGAGGTGGCAGATGTGCCACTCTTAAAGTAATTTAAAATTAACTGGTTGATACCCAGGGGCAGGTACTGTGGGGAATAATTTCACCCCCAGGGCCTGGACAAGGAACCGAATAAATCCTTTTCAGTTTCAGTTTCCAGGATACTACACAACTGCAGACAGCCAAGAGGCACGGGACACCTAAAACAAAGAATGCTCGTCTCTGGGTAGCAACTACAGCAAACAATTCTATTTATGAGTTACTCTCACAGGAATAGTCTTAGCTGTGCTGCTTCATGACTGATGCTTCCTCATACTGGCTCTTTTCAACTGTGTCCTTTCTATTAGTCAGATACTTCTCTTGACCAAGCAGCAGAGATGCTGATTCTGTGTGCACCTGCTACTCTACTCCAAGACAGGGGTGTGGCTTCTCAAGGCCTCAGGGCAATTTTAAAAGCACAAGTGGTAACAGCCAGAGGAAGATTAAGATTTGACTCATGAGTTTTCATCAGATGCAAGTCAAGGGGAAAGAACTTTTGCCTGTACAATGCACTAGACATCCATTTCTCCGGTTGGTTTCTCACCACATGCAGCACAGTGGTACTGTGCATGTATGCCACATTTAAGCATCTACTTCAACACCTCATTTATGGTCTCACTTCAGCTTCCACCAAGGAGGACATCACCAGAAGAAAAGGACTCTGGGCAGAAGTGAATGGACAGAAGCTGCGAACCCCACAGACAGAGGATGAAACAGGGCTTTTCTGTTGTCTATGACATGCTCTCCAGATATACCAAGGGAGGGCTGGCGTGCCACACTTCAGCCAACATGACACTAGATCTCACACTTGCAAAGCACACTGTTGGCGTGCTTCAGGTTTACAGTGCACTTTAGGGGATGCCACACTGAGAACTGGCTACAGTAGCATATTTCACAGGCAAGCTCATGCACGGGTTAGTATCACAGACAGTGATCCCACCACCACACGCAGAGTACCTTAGAATAACCTACTTTGCAGTCTCAAATGCAGATAGGTCTTCTGCCCTGGGCTTGAGGCTATACCAGTGAAATAAAGTGAACAAGAAAACAAACAAACAAAAATCCTCTGTGATATGAACAATGCTAAGGCATTTGTGCAATCTACATAACAGTCCCTATACTGCTAGAGGTCAGCAGTTTCCAGGGGAAGCAGAGGGTGGATATTGTATCATTTAGGCAAGGGAAAAGAGTTGAGTTAATTTCCCTTTCAGATGCCTGAATGGTCTATCTTAATGGTAAAAACTAAACCTGTCCTGGTCCCAAGGGCACAGGGGTAGTCTGAAAGCTTATTTTCATTTGTCTTGCTAATAGAGTACTTAAAAACAAAACAAAACAAGGCCTTTGGATCCACCAGCTGAGATGCAGAAGCTATGCTGTCACAGCCCCCTCAGAAGAGATTTCAGAAGTGGAGTGGAGAAGACCCAAGATTCAGGTAGTGAACAAAGGGCAACCCAGACAGCCCTGATTACAACGATGATTCACTGGCAGACATCTAAATGACTGCCTAGCCACCTCTGAGTGAGACAAATGGGACCATCAACTCTCTGCCAGCAGCTTTGGAGATTTATTTACAAAGGTAAAATTTACCATTTTCCATTTGAAAAAAGGGACTCACCAGCAGTGCAGGATTCAAAGAACTTGAACAAAACATAATGCAGCCAATAAGGTTTTCTGGGTTGGTAGATAAAGGAGTCCAAACAGTTTAAGGCTGGTGCAGGAAAAGTGGAAAGTGAAACCAACTAAGTTGATTTTACTGTCCCAATTCAACGAGATACAAAAAGTAAAATAAACTGGCAGTGGTGAAAATCAAAGTAAATGAAAACTCTAAAGTGCCTTCATTTCCAATACTCTTGGGGTGAGGATTAGAAACGCAAGCACGGATTTAGTTTTAATTTGTTTAATTTAATTCTATTTATTTTTATCATCAATGATATCCCTTTATATAATAGCCCCTGCAACACATCTTCTGATTTGCAAGCTTTCAAAGGCAAAGAGACTATAAGAAAGGCAGGCTCAAAGCCTCTTCACATGCTTGAATGTCCAATTATGTATCTTTTCACTGACCAGTCCCTTATTAAAAATGTGTCTAGTTGCAAGGACTGGAGTACTGGAGTAATGAAAAAAAAAGAACAGTTAAAAACCAAAAAGACCAATTTTATCAGGGCCTTTCACAATTACTGTCTTCCTAATACATCATGTTTATTAAATCCTTTGGCTGATGCTCATTCAGAAAGTATTACTACACACAAGTGGCTCTTGGACCCAGGTGATAATTTGAAAGAAGGAAAAAATGAGCAAACCTTTTATACCCTGTATACAAAAGATCTGACTAGTTAAAGCACTGCAAAGCTTAAGATCAACCTATTTGAGGAAGCCGCCTATATATGCCTTGCAATGATAAGTTAGTTAGGAAGGATTAGAGTCAAAGACAATCCTTCTCCACCTTACACACCCAGTTCAGGAATGCTCTTCCATTTGCTATGCACCAAAGCTCAAGACTTAATTTGTTTATCCTGGGGGTGCTATTTAATGGGGATATGCCTCCATTTATTGTTATTGTTCACTGCTGTGATTCCTTCCACACCTGGAGTTATTTGGGCAGGATGCCCTATATAACTATCTCTTTATATTGTTTTGATTAAGATTTAAGGAAGCCTTCAAGCCTTAGCAGTATAATGTCTCTTTTCATAGCATGGAAGAGACTGGATTTGATTGCTATGAATTTAAAATGGGACTTCCTGGTAAAGCTGGCAGATATGGACAGACCCCATGGTTCTTTCTGGCTCTCTCAGCTCCAAGGCTAAAAGACACTCGGCCTGAAACTGCCTAGTGCTACAGCAAATGGTTTTCTTGACTGCTTAGTTCCAAGCCAGGATTTAGGAAGGAAGCCTGCATCTCATTTTTATGATGACACATTGAGCAAAGCTGAAGCCCTGTTTTTCTTTAAATGACTCACTGAGCTGAGGCAGTAGCTGGGGAACTCAGGTACCTTTTTAATGGTGTTGTGCTTGCTGTTGCCTCGGTCGGCATTCTCACTGTGCAATATATCCAGAGCTGTCTCTCTCTCCTTTAGCTTCAGTGCCTCAATCTCGGTCTTCAGTTCATTCAGCTGCTCCTGCAGATGCTTGCTCTTCTCCATGTACTCCACCCTGTCACACACAGAACAGCCTTGTGGTAAACATTTGTGCATCTGCACAAGGTTTGTGGTAAAGAGCCAATAAGGAACTTCTAATACAGGTTAGGATTTCATCATTTACAGAGCATAAAACAGGTAACATTTGCATGCCTTCTAGAATGAACACCACTGAGCAACAGTTTGTTCACTATTAAAAATAAGAGCCACGTATCCAATCCAAGAGCAAGATCATAAGTCACACAGGTATGAGAGAAAGCCAACTGAGCATTTCCAGAAGATATAACCCTTCCATTTCCATTAGCAGCTGCACTACAACACAGGATAGTCTTCTGCCATTTCGTTGAGCTCGGCAGCTTTCAATAGTGCTGTTCTACTCCTTTGTACAGTATATACATAAACTCAATTTACTGAAACATGTTCGAGACTGAATTTGTGTCTGATTCTCTAAGGGTGACTAATGAATTTGAGTATCCTCAAACTGAGACATCCAATCTGACGCATCTTAAAGGATCCCTGATTTTAAATGATAGGGAGTCAGTGTGGTCTTAAAACCGGGTCCCTTAGAAGTGTCAAGTTCCCCCAAAATTAAGGCACCAAGAATTAGTCACTCTTGAAACTTAGTCTTAACAGCTTTTCATTGTAGAGTACCTACTCCATGTTCACAACAATCAGCCACTACTCTTGTAATTGAGTACTAAGATCCAAGCAATGACACTAAAACATCTTGGGCTGCATTGCAGTGTGAGGCAAATGCATCCCAGTACCCAAAGACCATGCACATTCCTGCAGTCTACTGGACCCTAGAAGTTGCATTAAAACCCCAGGAGGGTCGCAGTTGGCTTATGCCCACAGCAGATGAGAACACATCCCTTCTGTTTTTTGGTGCAATTGATTATTTTCATTAGGCAGATTAAGGCCAAACTGGTTCTGAATCCTGTTGAACTCTTGGTCTCAACACACTCACGACACTATTCTAGGAGACAGAGGACAGCGTTTCTTAACAGGTACACCACATTCTTCAGGGACAATTAACAGCCGAACATAGCAAAGACCTTCCTGTTCTTTTGCCTTACGCTGGTACCAACATGAAAGACATTTTCAGAACAAGCCAAATTCACCCTTGGTGAAACTCCATTAACTGCATGTATGCTATATCAGGACTGAATGCAACACATGCACATAGGCAATGGAAGCATACCACATACTTCTCTTTTTCTATTTCCATGGAAAGTCTCTTCATATCAGTATCCTTGAAGTCAAAGGACAGACTCTCACTGATGAAACTTGGCAGATCGGCAGGAAGTGTTGTCGTGCTCGAGTTCATCGGCTGCTAAAGACAGAGTACAGATTAATCATCTTTGGACGTGCAATTGCTGTTGCCTGCAAACATTTAGTAACAGAAGGGCACAATGAGAGAGAAAAAGCAACTGCTGACCCCATAATGCAAGAAGCTACTTAATGGTACTTCAGTGAAGAGCTAGCTCACTGACTGTATGGACAATTCAGATCATATGCTAGTACTTTGTATCCCTTTTGCAGGATGCTGCATGGGCTCCAAGAGATGTGAGCAAAAAAGTGTCTCCATTGCTGTGGCCAGGGTTAAGGAGTGGGCTTAGACAAGGTAGCCTTCACATTTCTTAAGGTCATCCACAAAACCAAGCCTGCTTCACTGTCAAAATTATGCCATACAGCTACTTTGATGATAGCACCCTTTATGCTGAGAGATTCTCCAAATGCTCTTAGTAGTAGAAAGAGCTGGTGCAGTTTAGTGCTTAGAGAACTGCCCTGGAACTTAGGGGACTATTCCCAGCTGTCACTGGCCAGGTGGCTGACTTAAGACAAGCCACCTCTATGTGCCTCCCCTTCCTCCATCTGTAAAATGAGGATCACGATACTGACCTTTGATATATACTGATGAAAACTGCTACATAGGAGTTAGACAATGTTATTAACATATTATAGCTGTCACTACAGACTCTGTTTAAATGTAGCTACCTCTTGGGAGAATCTTGGCAGGTATTTAATAGTAAAAGCCACACTACAGTTAAAGAAAGGAAATGAATTATGCCAATACAAAACACTACAAAAGAAAAAATCCTACGTGCAAAGGAAATAAATTGGTAGAATGGAATGAGAAATTGGTCAGGACCTTTGACTTAACATCCTGCCTACGGCATAGTTGTACAGTATCCTCAATGGCCACAAACAGCCAAGATCTCAGTTTTAAGCCTTATCTGAAAGACATCAATTCAAGCAACAAACTGTGCCCTCTAGCCATAGGCCAAGGAATTAGCTTACTGAAGAGCATCATGCACTGCATCAGTGGCAGTAATTCCTGCAATACACTATTTGTTCCTTTAAGATCTACCCTACTTTGGCCTGAAGATCAGAGCAAAGGTCTTGGGCTTCGTGGCTAAGCTTGCTTAAAGATTGGACAACTATCAGTAAGATCAAAAAGAGGACTGAGTCTGGGACTGAGGGCTGGGATGTCTGTGCACTTCACCGATTAGGAAGCTATTCTTGGTTGTTTGTTTCCCTCCCTTACTTCTGAGATTTGAAATGAACCTACAATTGCAAAATCTCCCTATTTGGCAATAGCAGTCAGAAATGAAATAAGTGACATTTTTGCTCCATACAGTAGTCCTTCCCTTACCACATGCATGGAATTCATGGAGATCTGTCTTGGAATCAATGAATATAAGGAGTCCACATTTCCCTTGTTCTACAGATCTGGGACAGAATTATATTTCCCTCTGGGTACTCTACACGTGCCATTAATGTGAAGCAATAAGTTTATTGCTCTCATATGTGCCAACTGAACGTGTGCATGGGAGCAATAAACTCTAGAGTTCATTGCCATTTGCACATGCACCTGGGACTGCAGTATGTTGAGCCGGGTTGGAGCAGGCCCGACTGGCAGGGAGCCCCAGGGGCAGTCAGCCTGCCAGTCTAGAACTGCTCCCCACCCCAGCTCAACGTGCTACAGAGGGGCTGGCTGGGGCACAAGGGCATTTCAATGCAAGGCTAGCCAGCAGGCAGCCCCTGTACTGAAGTACCCCAGCCAGCTGGGGCAGCATCTACATATGCACTACTACAGAGTTTTTTTACTACGCAGCAGGACAGTACTTATATTTACAAGTACTTTCCCACTGCAAAGTAAATTAATTTACTCCAACCTAATAGGGGCCCACATGTAGATGCTGAGCTATTTATTGCATTGCTAATTCATCAACTGTGCAGTAAACATCTCTTGTAAAAACATCCTCCATGGAATAAATGGTACTGACCAAGCGATGTAACCTTTTTAGCACTTATACACAGGTCACAATTTGATTACTCCTGCAATGGGAAGTGTACATCTGCATGCTCAGTATGGAAGCACTGGCTGGGCAGGTACACATGTGCACAGCCACCATCTAGGTCCACAAAGGGTAATAAAATTCTACACCTGGAGCTGAAATATGAACATTTGTACAATTACAAGTAAACAAGAACAAAGCAACTAAAGTTACAAGCTTGGTCTGGCCAGAGGGTTACGTTAAGTTTGGCACTCTGCACATATTATATGCACCAGTTCCCCCTCCTGCTTCTTCTCCAGGGCACAGCTTACTTCATGGCTGCATTGCTCACAAACACCGAAGTCAATATTGCTGTGGGACCATGAACAGGGACATCCATGGGCCCAGTTTAAAATCCACAGTGTGAAGGTGAAGTAGGGACAAAATAAACTAACAAACAAACAAAAAAACCCACCTTAATCACTAAGACACTTCAACAATTTTACCCAGTGCAAAGTCCCTCAGCCTGTGTGCTGCATCCTTCTGGCCTTAAATCATTTTAGAGAATTTACGAGATTTCAAATGTTTACAGACTTTGGGTACCTTTACACATGCTCCGGGGGGGGGGAGGGTAGTGCTTTAACTAAAGCAGCTACCAG